ATTTGTTTTTATATACTGTGCTGTACTATCCTTCAGTGTGTGTTTATAAGGATGTTAAAATTTAATTACAAATATTTGGGAAAAGAAGAAAAAAAAAAAACTGCTAAAGATAAACATTGACATTTCAAGTGCTTTAAACTTGGAGGCCATTAATGCTGTTGTCTCTACAGCAGCATCTCTGATTTCTTGGAAGCATCTCCACCTTGTCCAAAACATGGCTGACTGCCTCTTTCAATCAATTCTAGAGCTGATGCATCACCAGTCTCTCCCCACACTGGCCTCCTCTCCAGTCAAGAATTTACATTAAACCCTTGTTTGATTGTAAAGCTCTTATACAACCTGGCCCCATTCTAGTTATCAGAACGTTTAGGTTTTTTTTTTTTTTTCATGGCAGATCTCTGAGGTCAATAAATCAACTTTTATTGGGTGGTCAGATGACCAGACTTACATTTTAATTCACTCCGATTTAATAACATAACCACGACCCATAATAAAAAAAAAAGTTATCTTAGTATTCAGTGACAAAAGACTCTGGGGGACAATGGCAAGGTTTTGCAGGACATGGCAGCTAACTTAGCTAATGGCAGCTAAACCATAGTGGTTTAGTGAAGAAAGAGAGATTACGTTTTTTTTTTTTTTTAACCAGAAGAAAATTTTTTTTTTTTTAAATAGAAATAAAAATCAATAAAAATGAGTTATTAGTTAGTTATGTATTAATTTTAAACTTAATAAGTTATTAATAAAATTTGTTAATCAATTAAAATCAAGTAGTCTTTTTCCATGCACACAGTTATACATCAATAGCTGAGGATTTTTTTTTTGTCAATTAAAAAATGCAGAAGGCAAAATGTAATGCTCTACACCAGGATACAAAATTACCATACAGAAATGGGAAAATTTGGCATTGCTATTTGACTACGTTAGCATTAACATGGTTAGGACTAACCAGCTAAAGGCTACTGGTTTTAAATGCAGTTTTTAGTTTGGCCATCATGACATTCTGTTATGTACAGGTGCTGGTCATAAAATTAGAATATCATGAAAAAGTAGATTGATTTCAGTAATTCCATTTAAAAAGTGAAACTTGTATATTATATTCATACATTACATACAAACTCATATATTTCAGATGTTTATTTTGTTTAATTTTGATGATTACAAATGACAACAAATGAAAATCTTAAATTCATCATATCAGAAAATTAGAATATTGTGAAAAGGTTCAAAATTGATGGCCCCTGGTGCCACACTCTAATCAGTTAATTAACTCAAACCACCTGCAAAAGCCTTTAAATGGTCTTTCAGTCTAGTTCTATAGGCTACACAATCATGGGGAAGACTGCTGACTTGACAGTTGTCCAAAAGACGACCATCGACACCTTGCACAAGGAGGGCAAGACACAAAAGGTCATCGCTAAAGAGGCTGGCTGTTCACAGAGCTCAGTGTCCAAGCACATTAATAGAGAGGCGAAGGGAAGGAAAAGATGTGGTCGAAAAAAGTGTACAAGCAAGAGAGATAACCACACCCTGGAGAGGATTGTGAAACAAAACCCATTCAAAAATGTGGGGGAGATTCACAAAGAGTGGACTGCAGCTGGAGTGAGTGCTTCAAGAACCACCACACACAGACGTATGAAAGACATGGGTTTCTGCTGTCGCGTTCCTTGTGTCAAGCCACTCTTGAACCACAGACAGCGTCAGAAGCGTCTTGCCTGGGCTAAAGAGAAACAGGACTGGACTGCTGGTGAGTGGTCCAAAGTCATGTTCTCTGATGAAAGTAAATTTTGCATTTCCTTTGGAAATCAAGGTCCCAGAGTCTGGAGGAAAAGAAGAGAGGCACTTCATCCACGTTGCTTGAAGTCCAGTGTAAAGTTTCCACAGTCAGTGATGGTTTGGGGTGCCATGTCATCTGCTGGTGTTGGTCCATTGTGTTTTCTGAGGTCCAGGGTCAACGCAGCCACATACCAGGAAGTTTTAGAGCACTTCATGCTTCCTGCAGCTGACCAACTTTTTGGAGATGCAGATTTCATTTTCCAACAGGACTTGGCACCTGCACACAGTGCCAAAGCTACCAGTACCTGGTTGAAGGACCATGGTATCCCTGTTCTTAATTGGCCAGCAAACTCTCCTGACCTTAACCCCATAGAAAATCTATGGGGTATTGTGAAGAAGAAGATGCAATACACCAGACCCAACAATTCAGAAGAGCTAAAAGCCACTATTAGAGCAACCTGGGCTATCATAACACCTGAGCAGTGCCACAGACTGATCGACTCCATGCCACGCCGCATTGCTGCAGTAATACAGGCCAAAGGAGGCCCAACTAAATACTGAGTGCTGTACATGCTCATACTTTTCATGTTCATACTTTTCAGTTGGCCAAAATTTCTATAAATCCTTTGTTTTTATTGGTCTTCAGTAATATTCTAATTTTCTGATATGATGAATTTGAGATTTTCATTTGTTGTCATTTGTAATCATCAAAATTAAACAAAATAAACATCTGAAATATATGAGTTTGTATGTAATGTATGAATATAATATACAAGTTTCACTTTTTAAATGGAATTACTGAAATCAATCTACTTTTTCATGATATTCTAATTTTATGACCAGCACCTGTATATGTGGTCGTGTGTTGCTGAGGTAATGCCTCATATCCATCAGCAAAATGGTACAATAATCTATACAGTATTGTCTGCCTTATAGAAATGCATTTGGTCCTCTTAGTTATTATGCATAATATTGATTTATTCAATAGAAATGTCTCAGCAATGAAAAAAAGCAAGGCTAAAAAGCTTTTTTGTCATATAAAACCTTTGACAGTGGGTCATTTTGTTTGCTTAAGCATCTGCACCCAGACTTGGTTCTGATTTGTGCAGAGGACAGTGTACCAGAGTTATGCTGTTAGATTTGCCCTGGAGAGAATAGATTATATCAAATGAGCTTTCTTCTCTTTCAGTTATTTAGTTGTCCTGTTTCAAACTTCATCCTGAATAACATTTGTTCCCTGATCTTTGTACCCACACTGTTAGGTGTGTATTTACTGGGCTGTTAACTTCTGGCAAGACAGCTTTAAATGTTTTCCACTTGTGATTAATCTCTCTCTCTCTGGAAGAGACAATTAATCTGTAGGAAGTGATCTTTTTCTCCTTCTTAGACTGATTAGCAGCAGTAGTTGCTTCTCTAAACTAATTTCCTAGTTGCTATTAAACACTGTGTGCTCTAAAGCAGCAAATAGCCTTATAGATGTGTTTCCATTGGTGATGATTAGCAGATTAAATCCATCTGATCATTAAAAGCAACAGCATCCGGCTCTGTCATTCTTTCAAAAATTCTGAGGAAGAGCAGATGTGCATTAAGTTAACCTTTCTGTCTGGAATATGTTTAGATTTAAACTGGTAAAATGGTTTTGATTAAATACTTACACAGAACATCATGTCATTATGAAGGATATATTTTCTTTAACCTTTACATTCCTTATTGTTGAAAGCAAGACAAACAAATAAGTTTCCATCCCATTTATTATGGATTTTATTTTGTACATGAAGCTGCAGTAAACCAAAAGCTCTACAAAAAACAAGTACGTGTATACAAAGACTCGAAACAGAAAGGGGGTGGGGGTGGGGGGCACACAGAAAACAACAAAAATACCAGCTGACTTTACAAAAGCTTCGGATAGAAAGGAAAAAGCCGCCTGATGGCGATCGAAGGGAAACTGATTCAGGTTTTCACCGATGTGACAAAGAGTCCATTGCACTCCTACTTCCCCTGAGGTTCGCAGACACAAACAGATGGTAAACGTTTTTTTATAAAGGCACTTACCGAGGGATTGCATTACGTATCAGTGCATATTGTACTTGATATCAAACTGTTCAAAAGACATTTTTTTCTAAAAGTGAGCCAATCTATGGATAATTACATGCTGGACACTATAAATGATAACATCCCATCATAAAACACGACACAGGGCCCGTTAAACCGACAGAGGCTGATAAAGAGCGGCCGTCTCGATCCTGGTCAAGAAACAATGAAATATATTTTTTTATAAAACATTTTACATCCAGAAACATCAAGTTGGGCTCAAAATGACCTTTGGTTTGTGTGTGCATCACCACTGAAACTCAAACTTTTGGACACACCTTCTCATCCGGTGCTTTGTCTTTTCTTTATAACTACCTCCAGGATCTCTTAAAACAATTACCAATTTAGGCGATTACCTCCTGGAGCTCCTTGAGAGAAAGTGTGCTAACTGAAGTGAAAAATATAGTTTTTTTTAACAGTTAAAAGAATTAAAACAGCCATTTTTTTCCTCCTGTTTTGATATCTTCACTATGCTTCCATAGCATGTAATGAATGACAAAGGTGCGTCCAAACGTCTGACTCCGAGTTTACTGCACATAAAAGGAGAATCGACCCAAAACACAAACAGTATAAGCATCCATTAATACTGGCCCCGCCCACTTTAGTTTCACCAAAATGTCCACATTTAAATTCCTCTAATAAAATCTGAGATGATTTCTAATACATTCATCACATGTGGGGAGAAATTCATGCACAACCTTCATTCAACCTTAATTATGAATCAAGTTTTTATATTTATTTAGGTGGATTCTCCCTTTGAAAAAAAAGAAGGTTTTAAAAATAAAGGAAATTATATTCCATAACTGCTGCATACACTAAAACTAAGGGATTGCACATACATACTATAACAGATCTTTACAGCATAGAACATTGAACATTCTAGTATAAAATATAGTCCTAGGCTTATCAATAGATACCTTTAAAATATACATTCGGGGTAAAGCGTAGGCTGGGCTGGATGTGTGTAAGCAACATTAAACACAGTCAAACACTGTCTGCGGCTGGTTGATGTTCTGAAACATTAACAAGCTGAGTCGGCACCGCTAACATCACCCTTCCTTTGATTTACACAGATTTCTGTGAAGCTGGCTTAAAGATAAAAAATATAGACAACAGGTGCACAGAAATCTTTTTTCTCTAAATGGTTGCTGACTGCATCCCGTCAAATTGTGTCCAAATTCAGATTTCTTACGGTTGGATTTTAAACCTTTTTAATAAAAAAATGAAGTTGTCAAAATGTGACACTTTAAAGAAATGGCACAGGCACAGTTTTACACTTAGTCCAACAAAGAACAGCCTTAGAGGTATAGTGGAGGATTTTAGTGATTTTTTTAAAAGACCCGCCCTTACCACTTTAAAGAAAAAAATGGACATGCACAACGCTGTACTCGCTCCAGAGGGAACGCTTATTAAATGCGTGCAAGAGTGCGTTATTCCGTACGCGTTGTTTTAAAGTTTCTGTTCTCCTAGCGCCATCTTTGATTATTAGTCACCGCTGTCGTGTAGAGACAGCCTATGGCGAGAGTGAGCCACTGTGACAGCAAATCCCATAATGCTTTGCGATGAGAGCTCTCCCTGCAAAGCGTTCAGGGATATATCTGCCTCCTTTGGGGCCTTTCTTTTCTTCTCGTGCACTTCGTAGACACTTTCTCTCTTACGACCCTCAGCCATTGTTAAAGAACCGCGGTGAGAAAGGTGAGCTTTGATGACTGTCTGAAACCATAGGTCAACACAGATATACGCCTGAAAGTGTGCATGCGCAGAAAAAGATAGATAAAGGGACAAGCACATAGTATGGCCTTACATAAATATATTACCAGAATGACTGACAATTAGAAGGACCACTTATTTAGATGATTCACCCGGAAAAAGAAAATCCTCCACCATACCTTTGATCTTCACTGCAGCAACGTGGGACTATTTGGATCATACCAAACAAATAAATAGATACGACAAGAGATTTGTGGCTAATTTCCAGTTCTGACCTTACAATACCAATCATATTCAATTCAGCATTTAAAAGCATTGCTTGCTGGCCTTTTAGTGAATTCTGTATCAAAGCAGAGGAAAAGTTTCAGTTTGCACGAGAGAGCGGTCACTATCAATCAGGGCTTTAAGAATTTCAAATAAAGACCTAATGATTTAAAGACATTTTTAATGATCGCTATTATCTTAGCAATGAATCTGGTTAGCGCCATCTCAGTGTGGATTTTACTGAGCGGGGGGGGCTTTAATCCAGCTCCCCCAGGAACCACTGTCCTGCATGCTTTATGTGTCTCGGCCTCCACACACCTGACCTGGTTAAATGGGTGATCAACTACATGGCTGCTAAGGAGGTAATGCAGTCACCTGATTCAGGGCTGCTGAGGAGATCTATGATCAGGCAGGACAGTGGGCACTAGAGAATATGATTCCTTTTTTAAGCTCTGATTTCCAAAAGGTTCACAACATTTTCAAATCTGGCAATGGAGTGAAATTCAGTGGATAAACCAGAGAGTCTTGCTGCTCTAACACCATCAAGCTGCCTGTTATCAGTTCTTGGTAGATTTGATGAAAAGATCCCATTTTTCCTGTGCTAGACCCTTTTCTACAGAAAAATAATCAGGAATGAAATCCAGTAACTAAACGGGCCGAGAGCCAAAACCAAACTGTTATTCCTGCAAAGCTTCCAAAAAGAGGAAAGATCTTTGTAGATCCAAGCAAAGCTCTGAATGGTTTTGAGCTTCCAACCAGAACGTGGAAGTAAAAATCAGCCGATTAGACTCAATAATTAATAACGCATCAGAGCCGTTTTGTTTTTTTGAGTTTGTCATTTATTTTTGCCAGTATAAAGATTATCTTGGCCTTTTTTAAACAAACCACTTTAGCTATTTTTCTCTTCCCTGCTCAACACCAATGTACATAGATTCCAGCTTTGCTTTGCTTCTTTGGAGTTATTCTAACGCCAGTATGTCCCTTTTCGCTATAGTAGATATGAGGAAAATTTCGGATCAATTAAGCTGAAAGAGACGGCCATGTCGGAAGCCAACATTTTTTTTTTTTTTGATAAACGGTTCCTGAACTTTCTCGAAATATTCTAACATTGGACACAGAAAACCTGGAGATCAGAAAGTCAGCCTAGGATAGGTGCTGCAGTGGTGTGATCCCAGTATGTTAACTGGACCAGTTCAAACAGAAACAATGCCAGGCATAGAGAATATAATACATGTGACCATGTAGACATGTTGTGACGCTGTACTAATTTGCTGTTTGGCGTCTTTGAATCACTAAGGATATTGCTTTAACCCAAACCAGTCTGCAATAACTAACTAGCTTAGCGAACATCAAAGATCCACATTAGATCCTCAACTGTAACCAATGTGTAGATTTGTCTACTTTTGTTGAAAATCCATCATCAACTGCACATCAGACATCTTTACAGGAACAGTTTTATGAAAATATTCCCTGTTCATTCTTAGAAAAGGCTTTTTTTTCCTGAAAAAGGAATTTAAATGAGGATTCAATCTAAAGTCACTTAAAAAAAGGACGACTAAAATACAAAGTTTCAGCTGAAAAAAATGAACTTTGATGGGAAATAAAAAGAGAAAGAAAAACAGAAGCTTCTGAATTCTGATGAGGTGGATTTAACTGAACTGCGAGAGGAGTCAGAACCTGTGTAGTGGAGGATTTCTTTCTTTATGGGTCGTCGTGTTTCTCTTCTGGGTCCCTCAGCAGTCCAGTGTAGTCATCTCTTCATGTACTAAACCAAATTCTGTAAAAACAGAGGAAACACAAACATGACATTAAGAGTCCGAACACTGAGAAGCAGGATTTAATTTAACTGCATTAAGCTTCTGATAAATAACAAAACCTTCAGCTAAATACAGTTAAGAAAATCAGTAGAAAATGATTAAAGAAAAATCTTGCATGTTTTATAACAGGTGAGCATTAGCAGAACAAGACATGTGCCCAGACTGATGGAGCTGTTTGTAGCCTAAATAAATACTTGGTAAAATCACAACCTGCCTGCTGCTGTGTTCGGTCCTTGTCACCATCAAACTCGCCATCACGTCTCCCTCTCTTTTTTAACATTGACGTCTCCGCCTCCTCCTCCCCCTCCACCTGCTGCTGCTGGGCCACTCCCAGATCCAGACGCTGGAGCAGCTCCTGGCCCTGTACTGGCTCCAGATGGAGGTGCTGGAGCAGATCCTGCTGGTGCTGAGCCGGTGCCCAGGATAGTGGAGACCTCTCCCTGCATGAAGGCCCACGGAGGGCTGTTGGGCGAGTTGTCAAGCGGGCATCGCTCTCCACTGGGGCAATACACCTCGCCGTCTCCCCTTCGGCTTTGGATGTACACTCTGGTGCAGGGGAAGCAGAACCTGGATTTGATGGGGTGAGGAAAAGGTTATAAACAAGAGTTAAAAAAACATGAATCAGGTCTTTATTGGACAATTTACATTTATTTTTGTTTTATATCTGATCCCTTTCAGTTATATATACACTTATATATATACGGTAGTGGATTTAAACCACATGAATCTAATTTCTTTCAGGTTTTTATTTAATTTAGATTGAATTAAAGAGTATACTACTAGTAGGTGAGCTCGTTTCAATGGTTTTAATTTTGCTGTTAATTGTCTTGATCACACAGTACTAATAAAACAGTAGAAAAACAAACCTATGCCCCGGCACTGATGGACACTGGACAAAGTGTGTGTCCTCGAGCCTCTCATGACACAAAGTGCAGGACAGAGTGTTTCCAGCCGGATGGGTGTTGCTGACAGATGCTGATCCCAGCTCAGAGGCACCGTTGTTGGGTAGCGCTGCTGCAGCAGTGGTGGCCGCCTCTGCTGAGCTGCTGGATCCCAGAGGCTCAGCTCCAGACCTCGCTGTTGGAGGACGTTGCTGTCTGGCTGGGGATGAGGCAGGCTTAGGACTCGTCTGGCTCACACCACCAGCCATGGAAAAGGATGAGGAAGATAGGGGAGCACTCTTTGAGCTGCTGGTGCCAGACTGAGCCTGACTCTGGGACTTGGCCTGGCCCTGGGAGGAACTGAGCTCTCGCTCCAGCTCTGGAGTGATGAAGGGTGATATGCCCATCCCGATCCCCAGCTGTCTGCGACTCATCTCGGCCAATACGGGTGCAGGGAAGATCATGGGGCTGCTCATCGGCGCTGTCCTGGCGGTCAGACTCGCTGGCATGCCCGGAAGTAGTCCAGGAGGGATTCCCGCAATACTTTGTGTCACCAGATTGGGAGGGATGGCGGCGCCGATCATGGGTCTCCGGCTGCTGCTGGGGCTCTGACGGTTCACCTCTTGAGGCGGCTGCTCTCGATGGATCCCGTTGGGCGGGACACGTATCGCCGTCCCGCCGCCTTCTCCCCTTCCTCCGCGGTCAACGCGCTCCGTATGCTGCCTTCCAGCGTCCGGTCCGGGTTCCGCTCTCGCTAAGGAGCCGTGTTTGTTGGGTGAAGGACCGGGCGACCTCACGTTACCATCCTGCATGCCGTGACTCCGCTTCAGTTGGCGGGCGCTTGCTATCAAGAACTCGATCTGATTAGCCCCCTCGTAGTTAACGCAACCGCGACAGACCACCTCGCTAAAGTCCCACACCACGGTCCACGGCATCTTCGGCAGGTCGCACAAGTAGCACCACTGGCGCCTGGACGACGAAGACGGAGAGGACATGGCTGGCCAGCGGGCCACCTGGCACACCTGTTCGGGCTCCAACAGCCAGCTAGCACGCTTACGTGCTAACACAGGTTAGCAGCGTTAACCTATTTTCGGCTCGACAGGTGTACGCCCCTTTCTTTTCTGCAAACTTTCCTCTTTAGCAGGGTCAACACGAGTTTAGAACAACATTACGGGTTATAAACATGATAATTTGTGTCATATATTAGAGTCGTTTTCGCAGTTTTTCTTAATTTTGCTTTGTTTATCCAGTTCGGCCTACTTCTCGCTCCTGTCAACTGTTTTCCCCCAAACGACGCTGGTAGGTTACGTAATCGTTCGAATGGCATTATGGGGGTTTGAGTTTTTGGGCTCAGGGTGACCAACGCAAACTGATTCGTGTCAAACCTTAAAGCGGAACTACAGTCCGATATGACACGGAAGTGGTTCTTGAAGTCTGGAATTACTTCAGGTTAACACATGTGTCCTCCCACTTCAGAGCCATGCGTGTTGAACTAAAAAACGTTTACATTAGCAGCTAGCTTATATTTTAAATGCGTAAAAATGCCAAAAGACATATCATCATCATCTTCATCTTCAAGCGAGGATGAAGAGGATACTGGTGCCATGGAAACAACTGCGCCTCAGGGAGAAACCGGTAATTTCAACAAGTTAAGGAAAAAAATGATTGATGGCAGAAGCAGTGGGAAGAGGATAGAAGTGGAAGTATTCAAGGATTCAAAGAAAAGTTTGTACAACGAGGAGAACAGGAAAAAATAGAAAATAGGAAAACATTATATCCAGATTACCTTTTGATAATTTAGGTTAAAAACGTAGTATATTATTTAAAAAGGGAAACATCCAACAGGATGGTGATTTTTGTTTTCAAGGAGAGACAGTAAAACATGTTTTGTTAGCCTGTTCTAAACATTCTGTTGAGAGAAGGGAATAAGTAAATAAACTGCAATTAAATATACAAGATATTTTTGAAAAAACTTTCTACATTTAAATGTATTTTATTTATTTAATGAATTACCTTAAAGGTACACTATGCAACCGGTGTTGATTTTCCAGTGAGGCTCCCTCCAGAGGGCGAAAGTAAAAGTGCACTGTCGTAAATATGCACAGCTGTTCTCCTGGTTTCTCCGTCAAGCCAGGCGCGGTTGTTTTGAGCTTAGCAGCGAATGACTAATTCTGCGTTCACACTGGACGTAGCTGGCGCGACAGAAGCAGCGAGTTTACATGCAAAGTCAATGGTTGACGCGCGTCAAGGCGCAACAAAAGGTCCCGCGGCGCGTTTTGAGCACCAGGCGCAGCACGTCTGAGCGGCTGAAGCACCGCGTCGGGTGCGTTTAACGCAGGGAGAGAGACACAGCGCTGATGATCTCTCCTCTTAAACAGTTTATTGACGTCTAAATTAACTTAAAATGCAGAAATCTGCCGGCAGAATATGCAGTTTGGATTATTTAGATGAAAAACACCTACCAGCTGCCGCGGTGAACCGCTGCTGATGAAGGGATCCATACTGTTGGCGCCCCGCTGGTATGTGGGGGTCTGAGCGGCTCCGACAGAAAAAATATTGAAGGCAGGATAATAATCTGAATGAACTGACTGCACTGATTACGTTTTCAGGTGTATTTTCTCACTTAAACACATATTAAAACAACTTTATTCCCACTGATCACAGCAAATATAGCTGCAAGGCAGAGAAAGGATAGTGAAGCTCCGCCCAACGCGCGTCAGACACACTTTTGCACCGCGCAGCCAGAGCAGCAAAGCTGCTTCAGCCGCGCGTCAGAACTAACTGGTACAAGCAGCAAAAATGAAGCAGCAGACGCGATTTTGCGGCTTTTGCTGCGTGAACGTAGCATAACTGCACAAAGATCGCCACTGTGCTAGCAACGAGAATGCTTTTAACTGGGGGGTGTAGCAGTTCTCGCCGTAAAGCAAGACTGACTCTCACTAGACTTCTGAGCCTGTGGGTGCGGGTCGGTGCTCCTGCAGTTGCAAGTGCAGTATTTCCCCCACAGACCACCAGGGCGGCCGAGAATACCTTTGTTCAACCTGAAATGACTCATTTAATCATCCAAAACGTTATGGAACACATTAATTAACTGAAAAATGTTGCATAGAGTCCCTTTAAGAAAACAAAATTGATAGAAAGAATATAAGATTTATTAACTTTATTATTATTATTAAATTTTTTTGTGGGAGAATTTATATATAGCAGCCCGATCCACACTTTTTTTTTTTTTTTTTTTTTTTTATCTTTGGATGTTAAAATTATATCATTATATATTTTTTGTGTGCTTATTTTGTGTATTCAAATATTTGATAAAGGTCCAAATCTAATGTAAGCTTTGATTTCTCAAATGTTCGGCGTTTTATTTTTACTTTGATCCAGAGGGAAAGCCTAGAAGGGAGATTTTGGTAAATAATCAAAAAGGTGCACCTACTAGTTTTAGGCCAATACTAAAGTTAAAATGGATAAAACTTTGGCAAACCCTTTCTAATATCTAGATCCTCCTCAGCCTAGTTCAATTAATTTACTATTTATCATTTAAAGGGTAACAGAAAATGTTTAACACATTTTTGATGGAGCTTTAGCGAGCCACATTTGCAGACTTCAGTCCATCATATGTGGTTTTTGTATCATAGATTTAAGTAGAATTACTGTAGAGTTAAAAAGCAAAGGTTAAGTTGCTTTTGTTTATTTTGTTTACAAAAAAAAAATCTGTTTACAAATAAATATCTTTAAGGTAAGTTTTGTATCCAGCAAAGTTTGCTTTGATACCCATTACAGAATGCTGTGCGATTTCTATCGGAGATGTTAGTTGTTAAGCAATATTAGACCATGGTTGACTGTTGAATCCATCATTGATTATACAAAGGTATGGCACAACTGCAGACTTCCAGCTACCCTGACAGGGCAGCCAAGAAGAGCATTAAAGCAAAGGTCTGGTCAGCGAGGAATAACTAATGGGTCATTACCTATACTTAAAAAGGAAATATGTTTGCTGTGATTTAATGAATTTAGCGTTAATCTGTAAAACAAAAACATTTTTCATTGGGATCTCTGAGTCTGGGAGCGGCCATTTTTGCCCAAATATAGCAACACCTCACTCCTGACATCTTCCGGCAGTGATGTCACGGTGCGGTAAGCCTGGCGCTATTCTCCCCGCTATACAAGCAAAGTCAATGGGAACTACTAGACACATCTGCAATCAACAATGATTATTTAAGCTTTTGAGAGAACTTCACGGAAGTCATAGTATAACTGACGATGCCCATGTGCATGGCAGTTGGACTGTTGTAATACATCAGGTAAAAGGGGAAAAAAAATAGTTATTTCACCTTTCTGATGCATTATCGACCATGGCATTTGCTATCGAACTTCTGGCCGGAAAAAAACTCTCTGCTTCGCATAGTGCACTGGTCGTCACCATCATGGATAATAGCGTGTTGTGACAAACACCAGATACAGCATTGGGACTTGCTCAACAGCCGATACCGCACCGTGACGTCACAAACCAGTAGGTGGCTGTAGTGTTCTTTGACAAACATGGATGTCTCCAGTAAAGCACATTCAAATCAAAATTACTTTTAATTAAAAACACGTATCATTTATTGAAAAGTATTTAATAATTTTGTACTTAAAGTACTTTCTGAAGTTTTAAGTCTGACTGTGTCAGGACTTTTCCTCTAAACATTTAAACTGTTAGATGTTTGCTCAACAGATCTGAACGAGGTTAAAAAAAAGGAACTGTTTAAATAAAGCTGTAAGAAATCTGGATTGTGTCACAACATGCATTTAGCATGTAGCTCTGCTCTATGTGCTCTGTGGAAAAAGGCACGTCAGGTAAGACAGGTGGAGCTAAATGCAGGAGAATCCTGGAGGAATAATCCATCAGAGGCTGCAGAAGAGGAGCGGAGTTTCTCCTTTCAGCAGGACAATGGTCTTAAACACACACAGGATTCAAATGGGATTAAATCAATCCGATCAGATTCATGTGTCAGGAGGATTCAGTCAGTTTTAAACCAAATTTAAGAACCTGGGGTGGGTCTTAAAAAACTGATGTTCACAGAGCTTCTCTATTAACTTTAACCGAGATAGAGCTCTAATGCAAATAATGGAAAGCTAATGTTCTAGTTGTTGAAAACCCGGCATCGCTTTTTATTTTTATTGGTTTCACTGTAATGTGAAACATTGCGAAAAGAAAGAAAAAGTGCTGATGGGTGAGATTCCTCCAAAGATTGCGTTGAGACTGAAGCCGATCAGTTATTGATGAATCGCTTGTTTGTTTCTGCAGAAAAGAAGAACAGGAGGTTTGAGTGTCCCGAGGAGTTTGTGTCGTTCTGCCACGTCCCCTGCAGGAGCACGCTGGCAGACAATCTGAGGAACAACCAGAACGAGTTGTGGCTCATTAAAGCTCCTGCCAGCTTCGACCCTCAGCGGTGGGTACAGCCTGTGCTCTTTGCATCTGCTCATCCCACTTGTACCAACTTTTACGAGAACTTGGATTGGAAAGGAGCTCGGCCCTTGCAGTCTTTGGCGTTGTTGCTTTTCAATTAAACTACAATGTTAAAATCCTTTCACAGCTCGGTCAGGGATGATCGAATAAACGTTCTGCTTTTGTCAAATAGCTGATTTTAAACCTTTATATAGAGCTGTAACGGCTGAGGGAATAAGAAGCACCAGTTTCAATCAAAGCGGTCAGAAATTATTTAATCTTTCAAGTCCACAGCGTTCCAACGTTATGACCAATAAGTCTATATCAATAAAGAGTGTGCTCTTTTTGGAGGACTTAAATGAAATCGAACCAAATCAACTTCTCCATTAGCAAAGTTTCAGTTCCGTTTGATATTAATGGTCTATTACAGGATTGTTTTTCTGTATATTATCACTCCCACAACGTTCTGCTCATTTATAGATCCCCCCCAATAAAGGGGCGTAAAGTCGGGCTTACACTATACGTTTTTTTTGGCCTTTTTGGGCCGACTTTCCAGTCATGCAAGAGTTTTTCGATCGCATGACTGGAAAGCTTGATTGTGCGTCGTGCGTTGTATACTATACAGGGGGTGATGAGGGGTGATCAGCCTCTCACGACCATCTCCCGATCAGGAATGGTGAGGTCAGGAGAAAATGAAACATATTTGAAATTCAGTCGGCCGTCGTGGCCAAATTGCTCAGTGGGCAAACAAGGATTCTTCTTCTTCCTCTCAGGTGAAAACATAAAAGTATCACAGGGGTGTGAGTGACATGGAGTTCTTACTGTAAAATTGACAGACCATAGTAGCCATATTTGCTCAGCCATGTCTTTGTCCAAATACGTTGTCACCTTTTCTTTTTAGGGCTTTCAGCACAAAATTGCCCAAATTGCCAAGGCAGCGCGTTTCACTCTAGTGAGCTTCATATTCCTCTTCTACCCGTTTGGCTTTCAGGTAGACGAGTCCGAGTAGCGCCACCTCACTGCGGAGCAGAGTTGGACGTGGTTTCTAGACGTACAGTGTGAGCAGATTGCATCAGAGCGTCGGGTCACACAGTGTCAGAACAAATATCATGAGCTGTAGCTGCGTGCAACGATTGAAAAAATCGCGAAGTGTATGCCCGGCTTAACAATCTTTCCTGGCTGGACTCCGTTTGAAAAAGGCCCCCCAACTAAAGCCTCTTCCACTGAAACCAACGCGTTAAACCGTTTTCCTTTTTTTAAACATGCATCAACCCGCTAATAATCGTCATTTGTTTCCCTTCCCACTGGCAAAAAAAAGCTGGGTTCTAGTCGCTCACTGGCAGCTGGGTGGCCTCTGGTCCCCGCGGCTACGTGGCTGATGACACCATCACGCTGGGTTGGCGTTGATGATGTCATCAGTGCAACAGAAATCAGAAAAGTAAAGAATGGAGAGCAACGTGGAAGGAAGCCAGGGCATAGTCAGTGTACTTTATTGTTTCGCAGTATTATCCCGCTCACTAGTGCTGCTCCATCTTTATCAAATGTAAACAGATGTTTCAGCTTCGCAGATCAGAAGTGACTGGCACGGTTTGATGAGGTCCATATGTTGTGTTCAATGGTGTCACGTAATTTAGCGGGTCAAGCCGGCTCTGGTGTTTCTACAGCATGCTGAGTCGAGGCGATTTTAACGCCGGTCACTCGCTGAGTAATTTGACCCGAGTAGAAACGCGTCAGCGAGCTGTTCCCACTGCCACTAAAAGCCGAATGTTCCCGGATTCAAACAGGTTTTTCGGCCAGTGTGAAAGGGGCTTAAGAGTCACACTGTTGGCATTATGGAGGTTAGGACTTTATGCTGCCATCTGCAGCAGAAATTGATCCAGATTTCTAATAGTAAACAAGGACATAAAACCATATTTTTATTTTCCCTTAACCACTGCAAACTACTCTGTGGCTCTTTGCGAAGCTCTCCATCCAGATGCGGCCACATCTGGTACCAGTCCAGGCACAGAGGTTGATGCAGATGTCTCATGTTGATCATCAACGGTTGACTTAAGGCCTGAACACACCGAATCCAATTTCGTATCTGATCCAACAGAAAATCGTGTCAGACGTGGCGTTGAGCGCTCATTGAAAGTCAATGGGGATGATCCCATCCGACATGATTTTATGCAAGGGGCCTGCTTAGGTCTGACTGAGATAAACCCCAGGTCTGTTTTAGTCAGACTACGTAGCAATTTAGCTGCAATTTCATGGGTGTGACAAGAAGAGAGATGCAGTTACAAAGTAAAACACTTCTGCTTTCCCAAATAAAATTTGTTAATCGCATGGCAAAAGAGTCGGTTTTGGAGTTGCACATCGCGTATATAGAAAGCGGGACAGACTCATGCAAACACAATCAATGAAACATTAAAAAATAATACTTTACCCATGATAGGACAGATAACAGATAAAGTGTTGATCTTCTTTGAGCTCGCCAAAACGTGGGACAGAAAAGTTTATCACTCTCCTCGAAAAAAGAAATAACTTCACGAGGAGAAAAAACGGATATAGTAAAATAGTGATCCTCTTTGAGGCTCACAAAAAAAACAACAATAAGGGGCAAACAGAGCAGGTAAGCGTGGCGTATTTCTCACCTCTATGAAAAAAAGAAAAGAAAAACCTCCCAGATCTGTCTCTTAGAATCACCTCTCTGCCTCAGTCATCATATAAACCGTCTAACATGGTTTATTACTGTTTTTTCTTTTCTTTAGACATAGATCTCATTATTTTTGTAATAAAGGCATATAAACATTCTCTATCTGATCGGGCTTGAGATGCTACACAGATTTTCTTTGCTTTAGAATGCGATTGTGTTTTTTTTTTTTTTTTTTATAACCTTTCATAACCAGTCTAAGTCAAATGTGGGAAAGTGTTTTAATTTGTGTATAGCAAAAAGACAGAAGTGAGAAAAATCTGCGCAGATCTGCTCACCCTGCCTAGTCGGAGCCTCTCTATACGCAGTCATTGTGACAATTGAAAAAGGCCGGTGTGTTCAGGCCTTTATTAAAAATCTGGTCTTTCATCTTCTCTTCCAGCTTCAGCGGTGTTAAGGTTCCCCTCACAGGCCTGCAGACCCTGAAGGTTCCTTCCGCCTCCACCGGTGGGTCCAGCCAGCAGATCTACAGCGTCCTGGCATCGACCCGCTGCCCCGCAGATCTTCACCTGCTCACCAGCGATAATCAGACATCGGACGGCTTCGTCTTCGCTCCCGCGTTTTCCGGCCTGCTGAGCATCTGCGAGAGCTACGGAGAAAGCAGCACCAACCAGGTCCCTCACGTCATTCCTGCCGCTCCGCCTCCCTCCATACCCCCCGGCCTCAAACAGCGCTTCCACCCCTTCGGCAGTAAGACCCCCACTCTCACCTACGTGGCCGAGGACGAGGCGGATGGTGCTGCGTTTGGACCTTCGTCCACCACCCTCCGGCCTCTGGTGATGAAGCAGTTCATTGAAGAAGGGGGTTCTGTGGACGACGATGACAATGAGGAGGAAGGCAGGAAAAAGAAAAAGAAGAAGAAAAACAAAGAGAAGCGGATAAAGTCGGAACAGGTGGAGCTTCTGCTGAAAGTGAAGCGGGAACCTTTCGATGAAATCCCGGATGAACGTATGACCGAAGTCCCCTTCCAGGACGACGTCCAGCAGGCTGAGAAGACGACGACGAAGAAGAAGAAGAAAAAGAAGAAGGAGGAGGACAGGGAGCGAGAGGAGATGGAGGAGGGACTGGAGCCCAGTGTCAGAGTCAAGGTGGAACCAGTTTCTGTGAAATGTGAACCGCTGGACATTTTATATGGCGACACAGCAGAGAGCTCAGGAAAGAAGAAGAAAAAGAGCAAGAAAAGGAAACTGGAGGAGGACTAATTGTTTGGACATTTATTGCATCTTTTTAAATGTATTTTGCAAACATGAATGCTTTAATCATATGAAGTTATGAAGCTCATCTATTTTGAATCTTTAATGATGTTTTCCTCACATTTTAACCTCGGTGATGCAACAGCAGCTTTAGGAAGAAGTGACGGATGGAAAATAAGGAAGTTTTGTTCCAGTTCCTGTCAGCTGGTGGTGGATTTATGGCTTTAAAGCCACTCTGTCGATGTATCCATTCACACAACCAACGGCGCTGCTCTGGCAGCCCAGCTGATGAAGACGTAATGAGACGGTGTCGCCATGAGATTTACTGGTTGTTTTTCAGCTGAATGTTTCATGCATGATATGTAGACACAAACTCTGGAACTGAATAAAAGTTTAACGAGAGGAAAAAGTATTTGTTTCTTCTATTCTACAGTCATTACGGCAGAGTGCTGATGGAATGAAAACTAAATCTGGATTGTTCCTCAGTCTGTTCCAGGAGCCTGGATGTAAGCCGTCTGAAGAGCTTTCCCAAAGACGTAAAGATTTTGGGCTCAATAATCTCAGCAAAACATGTTTTTATTGCTTAAAACAGTTTTACAAAAAATATATACATTGCAGAAATATTCATACCCCTTGGCCTCGCTGAAGTCTGACCCAGGACTTATTGTTTAGAACTAAAAATAAATTGTGCTTTTATTTCCTCGCAGTGAAATTATAACACTTTTCATGTTGGTTTAGATCAGGGGTCACAGACGCGGTGCCCGCGGACACTAAGGGGCCCTCAAGGACCTCATTGGATGCCCTCAGCGTCTTCTGAAAACAAAAAGAATCACCAATGGACTAAGATTGTTAATGTCTTTAATTAGCTTGCTCTTTTTTAATCATTTAAAGAGCATTTCATTATATTAATCACATATAACATTTCATAATTTATTTGAAATCTCAAAATATAATCTAAAGTAAAATTAGAAATTAAAAGAAACAATAAAAATATGTATGAGCTTTAGGTGCACCCTCCAGTTCATAGGTCAGTATTGGTAACCCTTCCTATTGCCGAGTTTGAACTCAGCGGCTGCCTTATCTAAAGGCTGGATTTGTAGGCCGATTACGGCGCCGAGGTTTGTCCGGATTGCAAGACTGTTATGCGGCCAACATTTGCATCCTTCTTTTTGTCCGTTTTGAAGGACGGGTCTGGTGTGTCCTACATAGCCTCGAGTATCCCATAATTCATTGCGAGTCCAAGCAGATACACTGCCTGTCCTCAAAGGAAAAAGGTACTTGGTGCCAAACAGCAATGAATAATGTAAGTGCAGTTTAATATAATACAACTACGGTATGTGAATAATTCTGTCTGAAATTAATGAAAATAGTTGTTTTAAATGGCTATTGAGTCAGGAATGCATTGGGTAATATTTGATTTATCTAAAGGTTTTCTATCTGTTACTGTGTAAACGGGTTTGGATGTAATTTAAGCCCAGATTTTAATAAACCTGCAGTGCTTGGACTATAAAACTGATAAGGTGCTGCTGTTGAAGCTCCTCGAAAATATTAGAACCCAAAACAGCAGTGAGAAGTTCGGGTCATTTATCCTTTTACTGCTTTTTGTGTCAACTATCACGGTTGCTATGCAACAGATTGTATGTGCGCTGAAAGGTGGAGAAAGCTGGACCTGTTTTAATCCATCGCCAAAACTCTTCCTTTCTTATTTCACGGACCTTGAAGGATCCAGTCCACGTAGACCGGGTCCCTGGATGATGCAGCCGATTAAGTCGAACACAACCTCCAAGACTCGGAACCCATGAATTAGCTCTCGGCCTTAAAATGTTGGTGACCCCTGGTTCAGATGAATCATCTCAAACCGTCCAGAATGAAAAAAATAAAACACCTTCTGTATCTCCAGTTCTTTCGTCTTTCCATTGGGTTCCTGTTTTTTTTTAAGATTCAGCAGCTTGCTGTGAAACGTTTAAAAGGTCTGGCCCATCATGCCCATAACAGAACATGGTCAACCGAGCTGTTTCTTAAAGCTGCTCCTAGATTCAAGCTAAAATCCAGAGGTGATCGGGCATTTACAGTTTCAGCCTCAAACCTTTAGAGCAGGCAAATTTTTCCTATTTGGACTGTTGAAAATCAAGACACACATTTATTACTTGGCATTCAAATCCAGCAGAGTTTGAGATTTTTTTAGAGTCAATAGTTCATAATTTATTTTCACTTTTAAAAAAATCTTTTTGTGCTGATTTGTTCTCATTTATTTACTGACTGTAAAGACTTTTGATAAATTTTTGTTGTTTTCTTGTGCAAACTGTATATCAGACAAACTGCAAACAGCAATTCTTTTAGAAGGTCACGGCCTCCTTCCATGTTAAGAGGATGGATTGTGAACAGTGACTTCCTCCCTGACTCGTCTGCTTGGTTCCTGGTCTTCATTATGCTGGTTGTTCACAAATGTTGTAACAAATCTGCTACGTCTTTACAGGAAAACTGGACTTAAACTTTTAAATTAAACACTGGTGGGTCCTTTTACTCATAAGCTGATATCGAAGGCTATGGATTTTGTGCAGCAATTTTACAGTCAAACTTTAAAAATCGGCATCATTCTGTGTCAATCTACTTAAAATAAAATGTTTTGGCTTTAATCTGTGATACTTTATATCACATTTAGTAGTTGAAGATTAGTTTTAAAACATATCTCTGACTGAAGCAACAGACAACATATTCTTCTCAAAAACCTAAAGGATTCCATTACATTCAGTTTATTTCAATAGCGCCAATTCACAACATGTCATCTCGAGGCACTTTTCAGTTCAACAAATCATACAGTCAAATTGATTCAAAGTTTTCTATCCGAGGAAAACCTGGTGATTGCATCGACTCACTGAATCTAAGGCAATCCCTCACACTATGCACTAAGCATGCTTGTAGCGACAGTGGAGAGGAAAAACTCCCATTTAACAGGAAGAAACCTCCAGCAGAATCAGGCTCAGTGTGAGCGGCCATCTGCTGAGGCCGACTGGCGTTCAAGAAGACAGAGGCAGGGATAGAAAAAGATGCAGAGATACAAAAGGCAACTGTAAAAGGCGGCCCCGTCCAGGAAAAAAACAGCCAGGCAGACAAGCTCTGAGCCAGCTCCCATGTCAGAGGATGAAGAGAGCACATCCAGCCAGTCACAGTCAGAGAAACAGGACTACACTGGAAAACAAGCTGATCTTGTACATCTGTAAACAAAGGTATTGATGGCAGCAGCACAGCTGATATTTCTCTCCAGGAAGATGTCCTCCAGAAGTCTAAGCATATAGCAGCATAACTTTAGAGATAGGTCAGGATAACCTGAGCCACTCTAACCATAAGCTTTGTCAATTTATAATGATTGATAAAGCGCATAGTCAGCTTTATCAGGATGGAGTTGCATCTTAATGGACTGTTTGTTACCTGCACAAAACTCCAAAACAGTAAATGACAGACATGTTTCAAAATATATCACTTCTTTGACAGGGGAGAGGAATCTCGCCTCTGACAGGTAGATGGCGCCAGAGTCCAGACTGTGGGTCAGACAGGCCCCCCCTGCAGCCCCTGAACAACCTCTCACCTTTTAAACATGCATTTCCTTTGACAGATGGGATGAATTTCTGTTGAAGTCTAAAAACACAAAGAATGGGTGTGAAGGTGCATGCTTTGAAGGCAGCTGGCGATGAATCACCAGATTTTTGTGACACTGAGGTGAAACATTTCTGGCTCTGCATCCTCCCTCCCCCTGCTCCCCTCTCTCTGCTCTGCACCGGAGTATGGTGCTGCTTCCTAATGAGCTTAGGCACCTCTGGTGCCATCACAACCTCTCCATCTGTAGTATCTCCCCCTGCGAATGCTGCAAAGACCCACAATGTGGGTCCCACATGTATGCTTCTAGCCTGTGAAGCGTGTTTATCTGACCAGGATTTGGTGCACCTTGCAGCTCAAACCTGCAGGGTTTTGTTGATTTAGCTGCTGGCCAGTAAAGCAGAAAGCATCAAATGTCAGAAACTGGATAAAGAGTGTCTGAGTCAGAAGTAATGCCAGAGTTTTATGTGTCCTCACAGGTAGGGTTGAATACTGTGCTTCAGTATTCAGGCTTGAATGCCTCCATGCATGTTGTGTAACTGTCTGAGCTCATAGCTTATGAAGGAAACATTTTCTGCTGTTTACTGGATATCTCTGACGTTCTCTGTATCACAGCAGCCATGTTTGTTCAATTTAACATGATGTTTTTAACCATTCCCCATTTTATTAACAAAAATTAAAAAAGCATGATTTTTTTTTTTAGAGATCCTTATAGAATACTTTTTTTCTAAAACAATAACTGTGTGCCAGGCCTTAATGGTAGAAAGTGGTATTTTTCGATTCCCCACTGAAAGGTAAAGCTACTTAATGGAGAGCAGGAAAATAGGTTTAATTATGGCTTCTCATTATTACCTGTTTCTATCCATTTTTGCTGAAATTATTACTTGTTTTACTCCACAGGTGTCAAACTCCAGTCCTCCAGGGACTGATCCCCTGCAGGGTCTATGTATCTCTGCATCAACACCCCTGAAACACATAATGGAGCCTTCAACAGGACTGCAGCACCTGATTTCCTGAGGAGGTAATTAAGTCATTTAGTTCTGGTGTTTTGGGTTTTGGACGCCTCAGCAGCTCTCTAGGATTCTTAGGCCCTGATTAAAATGTTTCTGAAGCAGTTATGGATATATGCTCCCTGCAGTTCTCCTTGCTTTACAAGTTTTTATCAATGTTTTAAACTGTATCAGTTTGCATAATGACTGAAGCAACTCACATATGCAGCAAATTGTTAATGGAGCTGAGCAGCATAAGATTTAATATTAGCTTAAAGTGGAACTCTTTCTAGTTTTTGTGCATTTTATTTTTCATATCTGCCAAGTGCATATATTTTGGACCTTATGGATTAATTATGCTAATGCATTGAACCTACTTTGTTTCTGTTCTCCACCTTTCTGCCATTTTTTTTTCTTTGTCATGATTTTCATTTCTTTGCTTTTTCTACAGCTTTGAAAAAACCCCCCAAAAAAAACAGTTTTCAAAAAGAAAAATGGCTGTCGATCTGTGGCCGTCTGTGATTTTCAGACTTTTGGACTGCAATCGTATTTAGAAAAAAAACAACAACATTGCAAAAATAAAAAACATTTTTTATAAAAATTTAATCTAGCATTTAAAAAAGGACAGATTTTTTTCAACAGATAAGCCATACTTTATTTAACTCAATTCAATTAAATATACTTTATTAATCCCAAAGGGTAATTAAATGTTGCAGTACAAGTTTTTCTTCGTAACCCATGATGATGATGCCCCATCTTTATGGTTTATGTACAGATTTAAGCTTTTTTGTTTATTTTGCATAAATGGCTTGTATGCCTGTTTGGA